GGGACCCAGGCCTGGGACAGGAATGAAGAAGCGACCGGGCATGTCCTCGGCGAGGCGCCCTCTATCGGCAAGAACTGGTGTTTCTGGGTGAAGACGGGGAAGGGAGTTAACATCTTGTACACCATTGCACAGCTCTTTACAATTTTAAATCCCCCAAGAGGAGAAATTTCTCGGGGTTCCTAGGACCACAGATATGTGATTAATGAAATGATAGAGTCTGGGTATCCAAAAGGGATGACTTTTGAGTATGGGATCGGTCATCTGAAAGCTTGTCTGTGGCTAGTTCAGCTCCTGTTATCATGGGTCCATGAGTATGAGCATAGGAGATATGTCAATACACAGTGAATCTTTTTAGTCGTCCACCTCCCGTGGGCTGCCTCTAGACACAGACAACAGAGGTGTGTCTGTGTGCGCGCATGGTGCCAAACAGATGGTAATAGCTTCTGAACCCAGATGTTAATAGGGAAAGCTGGCGCTAGGCTCTTTGCTGGTCATCTCATCTGCCTTGACTTCAGAATTGTAGAGTGTTCCTTAAGTCATTTGACTGCGGCATGAACCATGAATTCAGTTGGGGACATGACCTTCCTTTTTCCCCAGCCTGTGGAATCCTGGGGAGGGAGGTTGGCCGTTTGCCGCCTCTATTCACCTTGGGCATGATGTAAACAGAAATTAGCATCTGTCTCCTTCCTTTTTCCACACCCCGAAGTCATTTCCTCTTACCTGGGATTTCGATGTCTGTATTCCTTCTGTGTGATGGATGCACGCAGAGAGACAAGGAGGGGGGGGGAGGAACTTCTTAAAATTCCCCAAAATGTTTTGACACTAGTTTTCAATGTTGCAATTGGGACTAGTCAGTTTCTAGTTTGGGTTTCCATCAGAAAGTTCTGGAGGAGTAGAGTATATAAGCTCTAGGAGCAAGAGCAGCAGCAGAAGGAACAGTCAGTGGTCGAGGCACACCAGACCAGGCAGCCCGGAGCGAAGCAAGGTGAGTACTCTCCTGTCCCCTGCCACTAATTCTCTGAGCCTGAAGACTGTCCGGGTACAGACTCCAGGGGTGTGCTACCCTGACCCAGGCATCATGGGAGTGGGATCAGGGGGTTCTGAAAGTATCCCTGAGGGCTTACCTGCTGGTGAGAAATAGGTACTTTGGGGACAGAGGTTTCAAATATTCATTTAAAAGTCAGCTAATTACAATATGATGGTGCACACCCGTGATCCCCAAATTTGGGAGCTGGGGGGCAGAATGAACAAATTTGGGGGTTTAAAGCCAGCCTCAGCTACACAATAATTTTCAGACCCTGTCTCAAAAAAAAAAAAGAATGAGCTATTAATAATGTGTTTCAACCCTATAAACAGATGGGTATCTGATAGGTTTGCTTTGTCTATATAAATACATACACACATGTGTGTGTTCTTAAGTACTAATGTTTGTCTTTTAAAGAATGTAGTTAAATTCTGTTCTTGCCTTACTAGTGAAAACTTTTTTAAAAGCCTTTCTTGCACCCCTTAAAGTTACTGAACGCCATACTTGCTTCCTTCCCTGTGATGGGCTATAGAGCTGTGATAGTCAAATTGGATGGCTGGGTTCTGTGGTTCTTTTGGATTGTTAACTAATTTGGCCACCTCTGCAAAACTGTAAAGCCTTAGTCGTGTTCAAAACTCCTTCCTAAAGGGTTCTAAAATCTGTGAGAAAGGGGACAAAAGATCATCTTCACAGGCTGGTTCCTTCTGCTCACCCAGGTAAATAAAGTCAGGAGCACTGGAGAGGTCAGGTTGACGTCATGTTTTTACACAGTGACCACTAAGCCTCAGCTGGCAGTTCAATTTGTTCAAGTAGTGTTTCAAGATGAGGTTAGGTTGTCTCCAAGGTTCATTCTGCTCAGATCTAAAATGCTATGATTATTGCACCAATAATCCATGGACTCCCTCTAGGGTATAAGACAAGACAAACGTGAATTCTGCCATCAGACCTCAGTATTGGGGGGAGGAGGGCAATACGCATTAAAGATGTAACCAAACCATTGCTATTGCAGTAAGTGCTGAGGGAGGAAAAGAGCAGGTATTTGGGGTCCTGGTTTCATTTGGGGATCAAGCTGGCACTTTCTGTGAGTTGTTTCATGAACTCCTATCCTGACAGAGTTCCTATTTTACAGTCTAGGAGTATGAGGTTTGATGAAGTCAGTACAACTTGTCAGGGTCTCATAACTGACAAGGGGCTCTGGAACCACGGTCCTTTGCCATGCCCCTCATGCCATCTGTGCTGTGTATTGTTATTTCTGGGCATTTTTACTTTTAAATACTATTTCTCTATTTGTATTTAAAAAAAACAGAATGAAACTTTCAAAAGGGATGTCCACTCAGGGGTCCTGTGCCCAGGAGCATTTGCGTACTCTAGGGAGCTGGACCTCTCTAGCCCAGGGTTCCTTTGTCCTTTGTGCAAGAATAGCAGGAGTTTAGAAAACTAATGAAATCATATTCAACAAACAAACAAAAACTACTGAATCATCAAAACTTACCAGGTCGAAGAATCGTGGAGGGTGAGAGACAGAGCTCCCCAGCATCTGCTGCTTAGCCAGAAAGCCAAAGCCTGGCCGCATCCTGCACCCTTTTTGCTTGTGTGGGTTTGATGAAGAGGCAACCCACCACCATTTCCACCCTCTGCTGGCATTCTATGCTCTAAGATGTAGGTGATGCTGAAACGAAGATTATTCCTTGGACCATTGCCAGGACTCCCTTCAACCTGAAATATGGTTCACGTGTGATGCTCAAATGCACCTGAGGCCCACAGAGGAAATGCTTGGCACGTAGCCAAAGGGAAAAGTCCCTGTGTTGAGAGCATATGAAGAGTTCACCAGGAAGGGCCAGGCATCTCTGCCTTTTTTCCCTTCCCAGAGTGTTGCCATCTGGGCTTCACAGCCATGTATAATTGCGCCACCTTCCCTGAGCATCTCTCTCCAGCCTGGCAGATTTTTTTTTTATTTTTAAACCTTCTGTATACAAAACAGAAAGAATTTCAAAATTTCCCCTAGTTCTTTTGCTAGTGCAAGGTAACCCGCCATCAGTTGCCTACTCTACCATATCATCTCGTTGCACACCTCACAGCGCTTTAAGACCACATAACCCTTCACTATGTCCCTTTAGAGATGAAGAGAGTAGGGCTGAGGGGAACAAGACCAACATCACACAGCTACTGAGTAGTAGGGCCAGAATCCAAGCCCTTGTCTGCTTGACTCCAAGCCAACGAATGAACCAACCAGTGCCCGTTTCAGCTAGTCCTTGGCTGTATGATCACTTGGACCTGGACAAGGCCTGGTGTCTAGCCCTGTCTCTGTCCTTGGTGATATCTGTAAGGAAAGAGAGGACATAGCACGGTCCACAAAGGTTAGCAGCAGCAGGTCTGGCAAAGGCATGATTCCGAACCAACGCAAGCTCATGTTTAAGGTATTTGCCTGGAATATTTAAGCCTTGATTCATAGGGACTAGACCTGTGGTCTCTCAAATCTTGTCCCTGCCAGATGGTAGCATCCTCCTTCAAGATAGAAGGGAATTAATTAGTCACTAATCATCTCAACCACATTTATGAGTGTGGAATAAACTTCACAGTCGAAAGATTTCTGCTAACCCTGGGTGTTATCTAGACTGGGTTACAATATAAGATGGTGGCTGATTTATGTACTTCAGTATTCCATGGTGGGTCAGTCAATGTGTTATTGTCTTCCACCAAAGAATACCTTGATTTGTAGGAGTTCTGGATCCTAAACACTGGCTAACACGTTTGCCTTATAATGTGTTCCATGGGCCAGAGGCATCAGCTTCTGGCGCCGTCAAGCAGGTTAAATCAGACACTCTGGGATGAGACTCAGCAGTCTTAGGAAGTCTGGGTTATACCATATACTCAAGCTTATGAAATGCTGAGTCTTGTTATGAGGGTGAGAGCTGGCTTAGAATTTGGAGTAATGTCTGCCTAGGTTTAAACAACCTAAGCCACTACAGGTTCTTGCCAGAACTTGGAAGGTTACCCCTGCATCACCTTTCCCACACCTAACCTGGTCCGTTAGCCTGGGGCATCCCTGTGCTTTCTGCACATTGGGCAGTGATACAGCTGCTCCGTGAGAGGGGAGGCAGAGCTCACATTGTCTGAGGACATATTTGTAGCACAGCAGTGTTGGTCCTAGAAAGCCCTGTGTAGGTGAAAACTGTTTCCCCGCTCTGTTCAACGCTCTCTGGGGGTTATATTAATATTACAATCAGAATCAACACTCTCTGTGGGTTATATTAATATTACAATCAGAACGAAGTAAGTAAGTGCAGTATGTGAATCCAGGAAGCCGTGTTCCATCTCTAAGCTTATATTTCTGAGCCTTAAACAGATAAGATAATGAGCCAAGTGTGATGGCGCTTACCTTTAATCCCAGCACTCAGGAGGCAGAGGCAGGTGGATCTCTGTAGGTTTGAGGCCAGCCTAGTATACAGAGTGAGTTCCAGGACAGCCAGGGCTAAAATAATTCTGTCTCAAAAAAAGGAGGGTGAGAAGTGTAGTATCAGCAAGACAAATTCGGCAGGTAAAATGTCTCGCTACACAAGCCTGAGGACCTGAGTTTGAGCCCTGAACCCATTGTGGAAGGAAAGAGCCAACTCCCAAAAATTGTCCTCTGACCTTCACACATACCAACATGCGCGTGTTCTCTCTCTCTCTCTCTCTCTCTCTCTCTCTCTCTCTCTCTCTCTCTCTCTCTCTCTCAATAAATAGTATCAGATAGCTGGGCCCTAGGATTCTTTCAGCTCCAGGTAGCCTATGATTCTCCATTCAGAGATGTTTTTACCCAAAACTAGAATGGACCTCCTATAATCCTGGTAGCTGACAGTGGGGAAGAGAAGGAATGTCAGTATTAGAAGGCAAAGAAAGTGTGGTTTGGTTAATTGGACAACGGTTGACATTCTCTGCCCTGTTTTCCTGTCTCTTCCTTTCCTCCTCCTCTTCCTCCTGCTTCTCCATACAGATGTATCACCAGAAGCTGACCATCTCCTGGTTTGCCGTTGTTCTGCTGGCATCTCCGCTCATGGCCATCTGGGAGCTGGAGAAAGATGGTAAGCAGTCTTTCCTTGTTTTCTATGGAGCTCCAGGATCTAAGCCTGAGCTCAAGGCAGCTGCTGGGAAAAGAGACTGAAGTGGACAGCCACCCATGGAGTCTCCTCGGGGAAGATGCAGGGTTATCCTCTCTTCTTCCATCTCTGGGGTCTCTGCCTTGTTTGGTTTTCATGTTGGATGACAGGAAAGGAGCTTTGGGTAGACTGTGGTGGCAAAGGGGATATGATCTTTGCCTGTAATACTGTAATACTAAAACGACTCTTTCAAACAACTGAAATTCCCTAGTAGAGAATGTAAGTAGCAGTATTGGCTTCTGCCCTCTGCTGCTCCTCCACACTACATTGTCCTCACAGGGGGCATTGTGGTGGTTTTCCTCTCGCCACTTTGGGATTGATGTTCAGATTGACTTGGGTTCAAATCATGGTTCTGCCAGGTATTGATTCTGAAACCTTGACTTGGACAACCTCACAGCCTCAGTTTTCTTAGTTGGGTGTCAATATTGACACTGACCACATGGGCTACTGAATACGTTAATGAATACAGAAGACAACGTATGATAAAATGGACATAAATATTGGCAAGCCCTAATGCTTAAAACAAAGTCTCTGGACTTTTCATCATCCCAATGGCAACAAGATTATTAGCATAGTGTTGGCATAGCAAGGAGCTCTCTCTGTCCTTGTATTATCTCACCCTTAGCAAATGTCCATCAACTCAGTCCTCAGATGTACCTAAAAGAATCTCAAATGTTTCATGAAATCCAACATAATAATGTTGGTAATTTCTGCTTTTATAGCTATACTGTCTCAGTTAGGGTTTCTACTGCTGTGAAGAGACACCATGACCACAGCAACTCTTACAAAGGAAAATATTTAATTGGGGTGGCTCATTTACAGTACAGAGGTTCAGTCCATTATCATTATGGTGGGACATGGTAGTGTGCAGGTAGACATGGCACTGGAGAAGTAGCTGAGAGTCCTACATCTTGATCTACAGGCAACAAGTGAACTGTCTACCACACTGAGTGTAGCTTAAGCAAAGGAGATCTCAAAGCCCACTTCCACAGTGATACACTTCCTCCAACAAAGCCACACCCACTCCAACTAGCCACACCTACTCCAACAAAGCCACACCTACTTCAACAAAGCCACACCTACTCCAACAAAGCCATACCTCATAGTAGTGCAACTCCCTTTGGGGACCATTTGCTTTCAAACCACCACATATACTATAGTAATATTTAATATTTATTGAACATAGAACCTCATTTAATTTCACAACACTATATAAAGTGGGAGTATTCCATTTTACAGATTTTGAAAACCGAGGCTCAAGAGATCAAGTAACTTGCCCACAAAGGGTGGAACAGGACTTGACCCCAGTTCAGTCTCAGTTCAGAGCCTGTGTAGTTTAGGTGCTAGAAGATTCTAAAGGAGAGCAAGAAGCAACTCTTTCCTGTGCCCATAAAGAGGAAACGAACATAAATTAAAATGACAAGATTTCTTGCCTGATGATTAGAAATAGTATTTTGAGAACCCAAACAGTACAATACCAAAATTGGTACCTAAAAAAAATTGAGGTCAGTGTTTTCATTCCAAAGAGTCACAGGAGCTAGAAAATGACTTAGCAGGTAAGGGTGCTTGCTGCCAAGTCTGATGACCTGGATTTGATCACATAATAGGAGAGGACCAAACGCTCCAAACTGCCCTCTGACCTCCAGACATGAGCTATGGCATGTGTATACACACACACACACACACACACACACACACACACACACACACACACACACGGAAGAATTAAATGCTATTTTAAAAATAATAATTTCAAGAAGTTTGGCCACCCACCCCAATAGAATTTTGGATCCTTTCCCAAGTAAAGCTGTTGCCACAGCCAGCTCTACAACCTAGGGATTTTTAGAATGCTTAGGAAGGAACTGAGGCCCAGGAAGGGTTAACTCCTGGTAAACCACAGACATTTCAGAAAATCAACGTGAGAAGCACAGAGAAGGCTTGTGATGGAGTCACAGTGATGGCCTGTAGCCCAGCGGACAACTAAGCGCTGCTTCCAATATCGCCAGGATATCTTTTCCTGCCCTTGGGGCAAGGTCTTCTGGGGTTTCTGAGTCCAGGTTCTAACAGGAAAATAACCTGCATAGCTGTTCAGTTGCCTGTAGGACAAAGAGAACCCAGAGGAAGCCAAAGGTTCCTGTGGTTTGGTGTCAGCTCAAGCTAATGATTTCCAAAGAGTTTGGCCTCCAGTGGTTTTTACCTCTTATCTTCGCTTCCCATTCAGCAGTTACAAATCCCACTGATGTAAAGTGAGAGCTCTGCATTTCACAATGCCCTCTGTTTGAATGCCAGTCACAAAGCCACCATTCACGGGGCACTTGAGGGAGCTGTCTTAAGCTTGCATACCCATTAGTTTATATGTCACCTTCTAAAGAAAGCCCTGTTTTATTTTCATTTTTAAAATAATGACATCAGAGCTAGGCATGGTGGTTCATGCCTGTAATCCCTGAACTTGGTAGGTCAAGGCAAGAAGACGGCCCCGAGTTGGAGGCCAGCCTGAGCTACAAAGTGAACGTCTCTAAAGATGGTGACAGTAAGCTTAAAGTGGCTCCTTGTCCCTCCCCACACCCAAGGCTTTCTTAAAGCCTCTGGCTGGTTCTGATCCATAGCTGCACCATTCCAAAACCCCAGCTCTCCATCACTATGTCTCCCATACTTAATGAGACATCAAGAAAATCCTGAAGACTTACCAAATGGGCCACTGGGGCCACCCCAACATTTCTGACTCAGCAACCGGGAACACACATTGTGGACGAGTTTCCTGCTGATGCTGATGATGGAGGTTGGAAGACCCGCCAGGCTTTGAGGGTCACTGCATTAAGTTATTCTTTCGATTAATAATTGATATGTGGGTAACCAGATGAATGAAGCTTTGATGGGACATTCTCCAAAATACCTTATGGAGCTATTCCTGGGGGCTCAGTTAGAAACTGGCATTAGAAATCCATTGCCTAGCACAGGAGACTAAAGATCTGAACTACAGTACTTGTCACACTTCACATTTGATGGGACCTTGCTTAGCTCCTTGGCATCAGTACTGTCCTTCAAAAAAATGAGGAAACTCTCATCTACTTATTCATACTCATGTAAATTAGCTTTTTTTAAAAAAAAAGGGGGGGGCAGCTAATGACAATCTCCATTGATGAGGTTCATGCAGAAGGGACTAAAATCTTAAACCTTCCTGGGTTATTTTTTAAGAGTTTTTCAGTGCATTTGCCTGGCTCTTTGGTCTGTGGATGATGATGATGATGATGATGATGAGGAGGAGGAGGAGGAGGAGGAGGAGGAGGAGGAGGCTAGCACAGAGCTATGTTGCAGTTTCTGTGCTGAGGTCTGCGTTTTTATCCATCTCCCAGGCAAATCTACAAGCATAGACACTATTGTTCCTGTCATTTTTGCAAGGACTCTGAGGCTCCTGGTGGTTCAGTCTCTTACTCAAAATCCCCTTTCCAATTAGAGGAGACGGAATTTCCTGCTCTGTCTTCCTCCATACCTATACTTGAAGCTGCTGTGTCCACTCTGCTCAGCATGACACCGGGCCATATTCCCTGTGAACTGTAACTGGAAGTTTATTCCCACACCCAACCCCACCTCCGTTTCCAGATCTCTAACAACGAATCTTGTACCGTTTTCATCTTTCTTGTTTCAAGGTTTTCCCTATGTGCCTGCTAATCAGAGATTAATTATTATAGGCCGACTGCCAGTTAATGACTTGGTGGCAGCTATAAAATCGCTTCTCTGTTCTGTGACCTTGAGTCTAGACAGGGCTCCATGCCCTCAGGCCATCTCAGCAAGCATTTGCAGAACTCTTGTGAGCAATGATGTACCCAGGCAGTAGGGCTGCCAAGACAGTAAATGAAACCTAGTTCCAGAGTTCATGAAGCTCACCATCCAGGTCTTCACTGCCGGTCCTCTCCAGTTTATGTTGTAGAGGTGGACTGGTCCCCTGGTGCCCCTGGAGAAAGAGTGGTCCTCACCTGTGACACTCCTGAAGAAGATGATATCACCTGGACCTCAGACCAGAGCAGTGAAGTTGTCGGCTCTGGAAAAACCCTGACCATCCAAGTCAAAGAGTTTTCGGATGCTGGCCAATACACCTGCCACAAAGGGGGAGAGACTCTGAGCCACTCACTTCTGCTGCTTCACAAGAGGGAAGATGGAATTTGGTCCACTGATATCTTGAAGGACCAAAAAGGTAATTCCATTCTCTGGGATAGTATCTTTTCTTCTACTTCTCCTTTAAAAAAAAAAATAGTAGTAGTAGTAGTAGTAGTATGTATGTGTGTGTGTGTGTGTGTGTGTGTGTGTGTGTGTGTACAGGTGTGTACAGGTGTGTACAGGTGTGTACAGGTGTATATGTGTGTGGAGGCCAAAGGACAATCCTGGGTATTATCCTCAGAAATGCCTCCCATCTCCTTTGAGACAAGAACTCTCATTGGGCCATAGCTCACCAATAAGCTGGACTGGCTGACCAGTGACACCCAGATACCTTCCTGTCTCTGCCTTCCCAGCTCTGAGATTACAAGTACATGACATCACTCCTGGCATTTTTCCCTAGTTAGGGACTGAACTTGGCTCCTTGTGCTTGTAGGACAATTTTATCAACTTCACTATCTTCGGAGCCCATTTGTCCCTCCCAAGAAATAGAAACATTAAAAATTTGAAAAGGCAGGACATATTTAGTGCAGTAAATGATTAAACATAAGTCCTGGAATCTCCATTTCCCTTGGCTTTCCTGGAATTCTTGGGCTCTTGGCCATTAATATCTAATATTGAGAGAGTTTAATTGTCTTTCTGAATGCATGTTCTCAAGTTTTCTTGAACGAAATCGATGTTATTGGATATCTGTTGAAAGTTAGGCAATATGTCCAGTTAATAACTCAGTACTGGGGTGACAACTTGGAAAAATTAATATTTCTGTCTAATGGGTGTAAAGTAAGTATGTGTGGTACATCACACTCTACAGAAAGAGCATCCTATCCAGATATTACCAATCTGTGCTGAAATACATGCCAACACAGCAGCCTTCCAAGGAAGCTGATAGAAGAATACCATGTGTGGCACACAGTTTGGTGGTAGAGTGCTTGCCCAGCATGTGCAAGGCCCTGGGTTCGATCCTCAATACCACAAGAGGAAAAAAGACTGCATCTAGCTGGGCAAGGTGGTTGGTACCTATTGTCAGCACTACAGAAAAGGATAAGTAGTTCTAGATCCTTCTATATTGTCAACCCAAGCTACATGAGACTTGTCTCAAAAATCCCCACCCTTGTACCATTTAGTGGCTTGTGATCCATCCATAATAAAAAAATAAATAAATAAAACACCCTAGTCTTCCTTTACTAAAAGAAAACTCCTAAATATTGGGGTTTTTTTTCTTTTCTAACACAGATCCCAAAAATAAGACCTTCCTGAAATGTGAGGCAGCAAATTACTCCGGACGGTTCACCTGCTGGTGGCTGACGGCAGTCAGCACGGACTTGAAGTTCAACCTCAAGAGTAGCAGCAGGTAAGGAAGCTGCTCTTGTTTCTCAACATTTTCCTAGACCTATTTCACAAAGAAAATAAGTAGAAACTGTCCATGGATTATCAGGGAATGGTATGGGGACAGCAAAGTCGAACCTATATTTTTTTTTCACCTTCCCTCTGCTTGCCCAAGGAAGTACAATGGAGCTTTAAGATGGCCCTCTGAGAACAGTTCTCTGGTGAGTGTGAATTCACTCATCCAAATTGCCTGGCAGCGCTTCATTAAGGCTCACAGCACCATGGGGAGAAATTAAAAAGATCTCATAGCTACAAATAACTTGCCAAAACTCTACTGTGCGCCAAAAACAGAAACAAGTGCTCTAGGGCCTCACTCTTGGAAACCCTGACGCAGATTCCAGAACCCTCTGAGGCCTTCTGAAATTTTCCTAGAGCCTTTTCAACTTCTTTCTGCCCTACCAACACCACTATTCTCAAGTTCACTTTGGCCAACACACTTGGGCTTTCCTTCAGGAACCATTTCCCAGGGCTGCAGAGCTGGTGTGCCAGGCTGCTCTGGAGCTGTCTTCAGTTCTCAGCTAACTCCCTGAGCCACGGAGCGCAGTGGGATAAACACCCTGGCTCTACTACTATTTAAATAAGTAAACTGGGGACTCAGTTTCCCATCTTTAGCATGAATTTGCTATGACTTTGAACATAACTAGGGAAAATTATGGTTTGGGGTGAAATCAGAGTCCTTGCTGCTCATATGAAAATGAAAATTTTTTAAGCTGGTAAAGGTGGCCCCTAAGCAGACCCCAAGTACATTGCAGGATGCCTACCTATAGTAACATGCCAGACCTCTATGTGCTTAAAAAAAAATTAGACACACATAATAAATTTTCTTGCTAGAGAAATTCTTGCACATGTTCATGAAGTCACTGTTGCATGGATAAGGGACACTGGGATATTTTGCATAATTAGCAAAGGCATACTCAAATAGAGCATTAATGTGCATTCATTGAAAAGAATAACCTAACTTATATGTTCTGCTTAGAGAATTCCCCACAATACTTTCAAAGAGGAAAAAAGATGGTTACAAAATCATATATATATATAATTTTCTTGTTTTTTAAAGTCATGCTAATATGTAGATAAAAATATATATGTGCATATATGTGTGTATATGATTATCTTGAATATTCTTTGGAAAACTCTAGAAAGCTGTAAATAATATCTATATTTGGGACTCAGATTTGAATTCAAATGGGGATGGCAGAGATACATATATTTTCTTTATGAACATCTTTGTCATGTTCTTTATAATTTGCACCTACTGATCTTATGAATGATACAGAGAAAATTTAAATTTTCAATAAAGGGTTTTAAGCAGGTTGTCTTTCATTAAAGCGTTTCCAGATTCATTTAGGCCAGAGATTTAAGTTTTAGTCTCTTAGAACTAAGCTTCCTTTGATGGAAAGGGCTGGGATTTTTTTTAATCCCAGAGCATAAATCTAACCAGCTACGTGGCCTGTTCTCAGACAGACTATAGTCACCAGTCACTTGCTCTCTGATCTATAACACAGAACAATTTCTGTCTTGGCCATCAGTTCCTCTGAGTCCCGAGCAGTGACATGTGGAGCAGCGTCTCTGTCTGCAGAGAAGGTCACAGTGGACCAAAGGGACTATAAGAAGTACTCGGTGGCATGCCAGGAGGACATCACTTGCCCAACTGCCGAGGAGACCTTGCCCATTGAACTGGTGATGGAGGCCCAGCACAAGTATAAATATGAGAACTACAGCACCGGCTTCTTCATCAGGGACATCAGTGAGTTTTGTGCACGAGCACGTGCCCGAAAAGTAAAGACCCTTGGGAAGCAAAGATGCTCTTTGCCACATGCTCACGAGCCCCTGGGGTGTAGGATTTACCTGTAGTCTTTTTCCTTCTGCACCTCCTGAAAAGCGTGATATAGACATTATGGTCTGCATTTTGCAGTGGAGGAAACTGAGAGATTAAGCTGCCTTTCCCCAGACCTCCAATCTCACAGCTGGCAGCCCAGATCCTGATCTCCCTCATGTAGCAGGCATTTTGTGACGTGTCTAATCTGCTACCCAGGTTGATGAATGATGAATCTGAGAGTCACTGGAGCAGATCATCCATACTGAGAGCAGAACTTCCCTACCAATTGCAGTTTTCACAACTCATTTTTCTCTAGCATCCACATATATATGTGTAGCTATAAATTCCCTTGGACATCTACTTCTAAATTGACAGAGCGTTTGGCCTCATTTCTTTTACCACATATTCATGGAATGATCATCCCGTGAGAATGTGATGGGATCAGAGAATGTGATGCAGAATTTGCAGAAAATCTGTACTTGGTGGGGGTGGGTCTTGTTCACAGGAGATGGCCATGGAGGTACCCTCTGAGGAGATGACATTTGGCAGAGACCTAAAGCACAGATGTTGGTTGTATTATTATTATTATTACATCATCATCATCATCATCATTATTATTATTATTATTCATACTATTAACAATACTAATGAAGGGTATTTGTGAAGGGTCTACCAAGAACAATATAGTCATTGTGTGTAAAAGAGCTAGGCTTCCTAAACTGGAGTATACTCCAGAGATGTCTCTCTATCTAGAAGAAAGTGCCACTTGAAGATCATGATAGTCACTGTATCCTCAGACAGAGTCCAGTGGTGGCACCTAATGGATTACAAATCTTGAATCAGCTACATGATTAGTGCAAAGTGGGGGATCAAGCCCAGAGAGGGTATCCCTGATGGCAGCACCCAGATACTAGTCTTTATTAAGTAGAATGGCTCACCCATCAGGGCCTGCCAGTCCGTGCAGTGAAGAAAAGGTTCAAGGACATAGGATGCAGTCAATAAGAGTGACTTCCTCGAATGGGAGAAGTATCCTCAGCTGAGGTCCCTCACAGGTTCTGCCCAGGTGCTCAGAGAAGTGAAGGAACTATAGAGACTAGAAGGGGGAAGGACCTCTCATCCAAGATCAGAAGTCTAAACCCTGGCTTCAAAGCTCGGCAGGATAATGAAGGATGCATGTTCTCTTCTGCAGTCAAACCGGACCCACCCAAGAACCTGCAGGTGAAGCCTTTGAAGAACTCTCAGGTGGAGGTATCCTGGGAGTACCCTGACTCCTGGAGCACTCCCCATTCCTACTTCTCCCTCAAGTTCTCTGTTGAGGTCCATGGCAAGAAAGGAAAGGTAAGGCGGGGATGCAGGTGCAGTGTATCCAAGTCGGATTTATGTAGCCCATGTTGGGGACAATGTGAAGATCCTAACAACCAGGCGCTTGCCACAGGACTAGAACCGTACTAAGGGTTCTCTGTGTGTATCACACACAACCCACACAAGGACCCAAAGACAGCAAGTATTACTGTCACCTCTCCACAGAGGACAGTGACGCCCAGAGAGGCTCTGACTTGTCCAAGTTCACCCAGCTAGAGCAGTGACAGAACTGGGACACAGCATCAGTCAGCTGGAGGCAAAGGTTGTGACTCCAGTCACCCCACTTCCTCCAGGACAGTCGACCATCCATCCTCAACTAAAATTATTGATGATATAGAGACCTGGGTTCCAGGAGCCTAAAATGATTGTTTCAACTGAGTGAGCATATAATAAATGCTAGAACATTGGTGCTGTGTCTCACCCAACATGGATAATCCCTACTTGTATAATAAATATATATTTTACAAAGCAAGGTGCCTGCTCTCATGCAGGCTAACACAGTGGCTTTCCAGCCCCCTGACTCTTAACACAGTGATCTCTTGCAAGGTTTTGGGAACAGTTTTACAGAGCCTTTAAAATCACAAGTAAAGACTCTTTCCTACATATCATTTAGAATGTGGTAACAATTCAGCTTAAATCACTCTCTAAAAGCAGGAACAGAAAATTATACAGAGGTTATTTTGAAACAGGTTTTAACTGTTACCAAAATCTTGTTAAGTTTCAACCCTGTGTATACGTATTTAACATACATGTCTTAACTAGGTAATGTTGAGCACTTTCTACTTGCTAGAAGCTTTCTTAGCATCTTTACCTAAATAAGGTATTTACCTGCTGCACTTCTTAGAGGCAGGCGTTCACTTGGGACCCATTCATAAATAAGGAGAGACACAGGGAGCCAAAGACATTTTCTAAAGCACCACAGCTGTGTGGCACTGCAGGATTTGAAGTCACATTTGTAAGCTGACAAACATGGGGGAGGGTATCTCTGGATAGCCAGAGGACAGCTAAGGAAGGTTGGTCTGAGTCCCACCATTGTCAGCCCCATACTGGAGTCATTGCCTGTGGGGCCTTAGGACAAGGCTCCTATTCAGAGACAGAAACTGGAGCAAGCCATTTCTGTTGGAGCTTACGAAATAGAAAAGTGAGGCCCGGGAGATGCATGAGTCAGTGAGGTGCTTCCTGCGTGAAGACCTGGATTCTAGCTCCCAGAAACTATGTAAAAGCTGAATATAATGCCTATAACCCCGGCATTGGGGCACAGTGGGAATAACACACACACACACACACACACACACACACACACACACACACACACGACAGAAACAGAGACAGAGACAGAGAGAGTCTGTGTTTACAGCTTCTGCCAGCAGGTGGTGCAAGGGTAGCGTCTTAACATAACACTGTGTTTAAGGAGGTCTTGTTCTGCAGAAACATGCCAGCCTGCCTTGTTTTGTCTAAAGCCCTTATGCCTTCCTCTCCTTTGCAGAAAAATGTGTCCCTCATCGTAGACAAGCTCTCTGCCCAAGTCCGATGCTCCAAAGGTGCAGAGGTCCGGGTGCGAGCTCAGGATCACTACTACAATTCATCATGGAGCAAATGGACATCTGTGCCCTGCAGTTAGGTGAGAATCCTAGCCACCCCTGCACATTCAGTGGTCCTGGTGGAGAACAACAATGGAGGGAGGGGCTTGTCAGGAATGGGGGTGGAGTTACTGGCATAGGGATACCAGAGTCAGAAACATGTCTGTCCACTACCAGATATTAATTTGAAGTCTATGTTAGTTCAGGCACTGTTCTGGGCCCAGGGATACTGTAATAAAGAAAACAGGCATGGGTCCTACCCTTGTATGGGGAAAGACAAGGAAGACCAGATGGGGAGAAAACCAGGAGTAGAGTCAGGAGGACTTGGGAGTAGACAGAAAGTGGAACCTTGTCCTAGGGGTTCTGGGGACCACTAAACTGTTTTTAATAAGGGAATGGCCTGATCTGATGCCCTTTAAAGAAAAATCTCTCAAGAGAGTCCCTAGCAAGCATGAGACCAGCTGAATTCTGAGCCCTGTAAGGAAGGGCTGGGCCTTTTCACATGGAAACCCCAAGACCCCAATGGCTGGGGAGAATGTGTGCTGAGAAACAGGAGGCTACACTTTGAGGCTACACTTCTGGCTAACACAGACTTACCCACATTCCTTTACAGGGTCCAATCCCAGGATGCAACCTTGGAAGAAAAAAAATAAGTGGAAGACATTAGGAAAGAAAAGTTTAAACTCATGATGGAAGAGACCCCCAAAGCTATTTTCTACTTGGTTGGCTTTTTCCAGTTTTTTTAGGTTCATGCTGACACCTCTGCTATATTTCTACATTTAAATGTTAAATGCCCACTGAGAATGAGCTAATTCATGTATAGATATTTTAACACTGTACTTGGCCTTATGCTATTTAAATATTTAAGTAATTTATGTATTTATTAATTTATTTCTGTATTTAACATTTGTATACTAAGATGTATTGAATATTTCATGTTCTCATGGGCTGATCCACAGAGACCAGGCCCTGTTATGCAAAGTGTGAACTTGTTATCTTCTTCAACAACTTTTCAACCAAGGCTGCCCAGGTCCACTGGCTTTTGTGACAACCAATAAGAACATGATATTCTGACACAAGCAGTGTTATATATTTGTGATCAGTAAAGACACAGGGGGTATTTAGAGACACGGAGATGCTATGAAGGAGACACTGAAGATATCAGTGCTGGTTCCAACATCAATGAAGACTTCCTAACAGTGGTATTGATGAGAAACCAGGGCCACCTGTGCTTCTATTAAACATCAGGTACCTAAATTTAAAAGAATTTTTAAATCCACGTTTGGGGACGTAGCTCAGGTGGTGCTTGCCTAGCATTCACAAAGCCCTAGGTTTGGTCCCCAGCACTGTATAAACTAAGCAGGATGGTGCATCCCTTAATCCTAGCACTGGGGAGATAGAGGCAGAAAAGTCATCTACGTAACAAGTTCAAGGCCAGCCAGGACTACATGATATACTATCTCAAGAAGACAGGAAGGAGAGAGGAGGTAGGGAGAGTGAGCTGGTTACCCCCAGACATGGAGTAGAGACATCCTGGGTGCCTGGAAGCAAAGAAGCTCTTGGCATCTGAGAGGAGACAGAGAGTAGTTGTGACTAAAGGACACCAAATCCAGAGTGGCAGATCAGCCATGCAAACGATGCAGAGAAAACTGCGCAGAATCAGTCTCTTTAGCCTGAGTGAACCTAAGGTGCAGCTATGACCAGACGGGATCCATCGTGTCACTGTGGGAGGTACTGCTGCTGCATAATGACCATGCTTCTTGTGGTGACTGCCTTTGTTTATTTATTTATTTATGCCTTGTGAGACCAAACGAATAAAAACTCTTCTTTGCAGTCATGGTTTTCTACTTTCTCAGCTGACTTAGGCATTCCATTTCCAAGCCTATTTCAGTTCACCCTCACTCCCCACCCTACCCCCCCCCCAGCCCGGCCCCATCATCTAAGATCATCTCCTCCTTGAAGTGATTTCATTTCCAATTGTGCAGAGTCGCTATTTCCTTTTATAGTATTTCCAGCATCGGAGCCTTGCTGAGCTCAGGGAAGGTCCCTGCAGGCTTCCCAGCAGGGACTCTACTAGGACACAAAATGGGACTGTGTCCTCTTTAGGGGTTTGCTGCTTTATCATCAATCCTGAAATAATACTCTCATTTTGCATTGTCTTAGATTCCTTTATATATTGCTGTGATAAACCACCACAACCAAAAACAATTCAGGGAGGAAAAGGTTTATATAAGTGAAGGGAAGTCAGGGTAAGAACTCAAGATAGGAACAGAAACAGAGGCCCCGTGGAGGAGCACTGATTACTGGCTTGCTCTTCCTGGCTTGCTCAGTTTGCCTTCTTATACAACTAGCTGCCAAGGCATCTGTCCATAGTAGTCTGGGCCCTCCATCAACAATCAATCAAGAAAATACTCCCACAGGCTTGCCTATAGGCCAATGACCCAGACATTTTTTTTTTCCTAATGAATTTATTTTACATCCTGGCTGCAGTTTCCCCTCCCTCCTCTCCTCCCAGTCTCCACCTCCCACCCCCACCCCTATTCCCACCCTCCAATCCTCTCCTCCTCCATTTCTGTTCAGGAAAGGCCAGGTCTCCCATGAGAATCAACAAAACATGGCATGTCAAGTTGCAGTAAGACTAAGCACCTCCCCATATATTAAAGCTGGGCAAGGTGACCCGACCCAGTATGAGGAGCAGGGTCCCAAAAGCCAGTAAAGGGTCACAGACAGCCCCTGTTCCCAACTGTTAGGAGTCCAACAAGAAAACCAAGCTACACAACTGTAACATAAATGCAGAGTGCCTAGGTCAGTCCCATGCAGGCTGACTGGTTGTCAGTTCAGTCTCTGTGAGGCCCTATGAGTTCAGGTTAGTTGATTCTGTGAGTTTTCTTGTGGTGTTCCCCTTGCCCCATATCCTCTCCAGCATGAGCTGTCACTTGTGTTTTTGATTTTAGCCATTGTAAGTGTAAGATGGACTCTCAGAGTTGTCTTGATTTGCATTTCCTTGGTGGCTTAGGATGGTGAACATCTTAAGTGTTTCTCGGCCAGGGGTGTTTTCTTAGCTGAGGGTCCCTCTTCTCAGATGACTCTAGCAAGGTGGCATAAAGACTAACCAACTCATCCCTACACCATGAAATAAAACTCTAAATGAGATGAATGAGCCTTGACCACCTCATTTCCCCATGCCATCCATTCAGCTCCAGTATGTACTGAGGATCTGGACCATGTTTGGATGTGTGTTAGCCCTTAGTGCTTGGGGTTTCCAATGAACCTCATGTTGTTTTCCCCTTAGAGTGCCCATTTCTGGCATTGCTTATAAAACAAGGCCGAACATGCTTAATCCCATTGAGTGCTGAGATGCTCACTGTGTATGATATCCCGGGATCTCGACAGACTAAAGAGGAAAGAGAGGTCAGCTTTGTTTAATTCATGAGCAGAGTCTATCAAGTTCTCCTAGTGGCTGCTATGGGAAGAGTAAGCGGTGAACTCAAGGAGAATGGGTATCAACTCCCTGCTATTCTGGAAACCCAGCTGTGCACATCTGGGCTTCTTTGCAATGGCAGGGTGATTTTTGGTAGAGTTACTTGCTTAGTCCTGGTTGTGTTTTCTAGAAGGGTGGGAGGGAGTTTCTGCCATCCTATTCAAGCCATTGAAGCACAACATCCTGTTATGAGCCCACATTGACAGCAGGGGACGGCTTCTAACACCTGTTGATCTTCCCACGAGGTCTTTCATCTAGTGATACCAAAACATCTAGTAGGAACTAAATGAACAATGATAGGAAAAGAATAATCACATCTTATAAGCACAGAGACCTAGAGGTGTTTCTCCAAACTTCCAGCAAGCTTCAGGCAGGCTTGGCTCCTCTGGCCCTCACCACACAGTTGCTTTTCTGACACGAACTCTTAACGTTTGCTTGATTTCAGTGCATGCACTGAAGAGTTTCTCTATTTGAAATCCATTTTCCAGGACAGAGCTTCATAAAAGTCAAGTCACTGGATGTAGTGATGGTGCTGAGCATGCAGTGTGGGTGCCAATCACCAGGCCCTGGTCCTGCTCAAAGCCCTAAAACCTGCTATGACCACCGTGCTGAGGTCAAGGTGTGGACCTTGAAGGGTTCTTTGTGCTGACAGGACATTAGCATCATCACCACCAGACCGTGAGCCCTCTGAGGTTAGAGTTCATTCTTGAGGTACAGAAAATGCAGACACTCAGGACTGTGGTACTGATGGAGCACAAGGCACAGAAGGTCACCACTGAGCACCAGAAGCCGAAGGTGGGGAATTAGATAGAGAACCAACAGTTACAGGAGCTACAAGTAGATGGGTCCCCGCAGGAAGCAAGAGAGAAGAGTGATGTTAGGCTCACCTGACCAGGAAGAGCAGGCTTGGGCACAACTGAACAAGCACTATGCCTACAAGAGAGGGTGAAAACCTTCATACCCAGGAGCAACATGGAGGCCTGTATAGAAGCATTAGGTTCCTGGAAGAACCACAACCAGACCATCACTAGAGAGGGGCAGGTGGTCAGGTCATAATGCAGAAACTCTTAGTTACCCAGAATCTTGGGCAGGTAATTATAATGGCACAGAGGTCAAATATGCAACAGCTGTATCACTTCTGCAATGAAACATCTCGGGGCTGGAGAGATGGCTCAGAGGTTAAGAGCACCAACTGCTCTTTCAGAGGTCCTGATTCAATTCCCAGCACCCACAGGGTGGCTCACAACCATCTGTAATGCGATCTGGTGCCCTCTTCTGTGTACACAATAAATAAATAAATAAATCTTTGCCGGGCGGTGGTGGCGCACGCCTTTAATCCCAGCACTTGGGAGGCAGAGCCAGGTGGATCTCTGTGAGTTCGAGGCCAGCCTGGACTACCAAGTGAGTTCCAGGAAAAGGCGCAAAGCTACACAGAGAAACCCTGTCTCGAAAAACCAAAAAAAAAAGAAAAGAAAAGAAACATCTCACAGCATTCCTCCCCATCCTCCAGCTCCTCTATAGTCTCCACTCTCTTTTGCAGGATGCTCACTAAGCCTTGGGGAGCTTGATACAGATGTCCCATGTAGAGCTAAGCATTCAACAATCATTTATTCTCAGCACTTTGACCAGTTGTGAATCTCTGCATTAACTACTGCCTAGTGCAGATGCTTCCCTGTCTGGGGGAACACTAATTGAAGAGTATCACCATAAACATTTAAAAGGCAGTTTGACAGAGTGCCCATTTAGCAAAATAATAGTGGTACGTATGGCCATGACTTCCCAAATCACTGCCTTCTGACCAGGCTTAATAGTACCAGGCAGGCCTCAAGTTCGATCAGAACGTGATTGTTGGTTGCCACCATAATGTTCATGCCATTATTGCACCAGTGGGCACAGCTTACAAGGCAGGATGAGAATGGTATGGAAGTATTCAGGGTTCTCCACTGGGTAATACCACTGATGAGTTTTCTCTCTCAGAGGCCTGCATGGTACCTTCCAGACTGGGAACTGGCCAACAGGAAGTTTTCAGGTCACTTCCAGCTTCATTTCTCTATGCCCCACCATTAGAGGGGTCTGCTTTTATGAATGAAGTTTTCCTGGAGCCCTCCCACTCCTCAAATCAAGATACTAAAAAAATCTATTAAAGATCTGAGCAAAATATCTCAAAACTTGTAATCAGAAGGTCAGGCCCTAAGTCAGACCTGTTATGTGACCACGCAACTTTGAGCAGGTCATCAGTCATGACCTGTTGGCTGTCTAACCAATACTCACTCCCAGATTCCTTCTTCTCTGATACTTCTCTTTAGTTCTAAAGGTTAGAAAGATAAGCAAACACTTTTCTAGGTACTCTTCCTGCTCAGAAAAACCAAAGAGGTCAGTTCTAGCCAACAAGAAGTAAGAATTTTCCACTGGAGAAATGCCGAGACACCTAGGTTTTCCTGATGAACAATGGAGCCATTAATATCATTGTTTCTCTCTTTCCTTTCTTGAAGAGATAAAACTTGAGACACTGCAGAGGACCTCTAGTACTTGGGATGAAACCCATCATTGATGAACAGGTACATTCTGTTCAGTTGGGTTACGGACTCTCGTGCAACATCAGACAGTTAAACAAACTTCTAATAAAGAGCTACCCTAGAATCCTTTTTAGTCGTGTCTCAGTCTGTTTTCTGTTGTTATAACAAAATGCCTCAGACCAGATGACTTATAAAAGAATAGTGATCTATTCAGCTCATGGATTTGAAACTGGAAAGTCCAAGGGCACAATGCCAGTATCAACTGGGGGTTGTGCTATGTAATTTCACTCTGGAGGTCATCAGATGTTAAGAAGATACAAGCTCAGGCCTTTATCTTCTCATAAAACCACTAATGCTACCATGGAGCCCAACCTTCATAGCTTCATCTAATCCTAATTATCTCCCAAATGGGAGATTCTCACCTTCAAATACCATTAACATGTGAACTTGGGTATTAAGTTTTTATGACATAAACTTTATGGTTTGTGGGGGCTGGGGCAAGGTCTCAAGTAGCTCAGGGTGTCCTCAGATTTACTTCCTATGTAATCAAAGACATCTTTGGAACTTCTGATTCTTCTACTTTCACCTCCTAAAGGCTGGAATTGCAAGTCTGACTGAACCACACATTCAGGCTTTTTATTTATTTATTTTTACGTCCCAGCCATAGTTTTCCCTCCTTTCTCTCCTCCCAGTCCCCCTTACCCTCCTCTGTCCCCACCTTCCAATTCACTCCTCTTCCA